AGGGGGCCTGGGTGCTCCGGCCTGGTGTGGGCGTGGGGCTGGCTGGCCCTGGCTGCCAGGATCCCCTCTCGACACATCCCCGGCCGCCGGGGTGCCCGCGCCAGCTACAGGAGGCGGGGGAAGGGGCTCTGCGGCCTTGACCGCGGGGTTCCCGTGCGTAAACCCTGGCGTCCAGTGCCACGAGGAGCGATCCTGCAGGCGGGTCTATAAAGCTGAGGATGCTGGATGTGGAGAGAGGAGAGCCTGGAGAACGGCTCCTTTGTAATAAACACATCCCACAGCAATCTGGGCTTACTCCTCAAGTAATGCACCATGATCTTCTTGTGATATTACACCCTATATACAATAACTGCCTGTCAGGCCAGAATGCTGGTGCAGGGGGCAGGTTCAAGGGTCTGGAGGCCACAGCGGAATCTGTGCCTCTTCAGGGGCCTTGCTTGCCTCCTGGCAGCTCCCCAGTCAGGAAAGAAGCCTCAGGAGAGGAGGTGATGGGCCCACTCCCTTCGGGACACCCTGAGCCCTGGGCCCCGGGCCTGTCCCGCCCTCTCCCACCCACCCGGGCATGGCTGTTTGTGACCAGCTGATCACCCACAGCTCTCTGGCCTCAAAGACGGGAGTTGGGGCCTCTGCTCCCAGATGCCAGCCTGTCGGAGCCCTAGGGCAGTTTTGGGTTTTCCAACCAGGGTCCAGAGCCAGGGAGGGAGCTGCTGGGGTCGCCCAGCGAGGCAGCGGAGTCTGGGCCTCAGCCTGGGGCGGCCACCGGATGAGGGCCCTTTCCTCGCTGGCAGCCCTGGCTCTGGCCTATCTCAGAGGCCCTTGCTCCCCTCCCCAACCCTGTTCACCGCCTGGAACACCCGAGGGCGGGGCGGGGAGAAGAGAGGGAGGAGGAGGAAGAGGAAAAGGAAAAAGAAAAAGTGGCCGTGTTCAGCCTGGCCCTGCAGGACGGAGGCCCAGACTGGCATCAGGACCGAGGCGTCTTAGTTTCCTGCTTCTTGAGCTGCTGGAATAGGGGTCCGTGCCCCCCAGCTCCACGGTGAGGGCAGCATGGCCAACGGACCCCTGAGCCCTGGCGCTGCCTAGGTTAGTGGCGGGGCTGAGCGGGTCTTATCCTCGCCCGTCTGCCTGCCTGGGGGTCTCAAGGCCTGGCCCTGGTGGCCTCTCTGTGCCCCAGCCTCTGCAGCCCCCCTTTTCCGGGAGCCTCCTGGTGTGGGGGGCCTGGCGCTGGGCCCTGGGAGATTACCAGGCCCCGGCCATCTCCCCACCCGCCTTTCTCCAAAAGCCCCTGGAGGATGCCCCCACAGTGAGGAATCGGGGGCCTGTCACAGATCCAAGGCAGGCTCCTCACTCGGCATCGGAAGGGCACCTCAGTTGTATGGGCTCGGCGGTGCTTTTGAAAGGGCCCGTGGTTTACCCATCGCTGAGTCAGGCCGCAGGTGGCATACACGTTGGTGACTCAGGATTTGGGCTGGAAACCACAGGGCTGGGACCCACTGGCTGCAGGTGACAGGGTGGTGTGGGGGTCGGGGAGTGTCACCCCAGAGCTCGAAGCGCCTTGCTTGATTGAACCTCTGAGATGCCCGCTTGGTGCCCTGCCTTGCGACCCTGCCGAGGGGCTTTCGTGCCCAAGGTGCCCCGGGGCCCCTCGGCTGGCGGTCCCCCGGGAGGGGCCCCTCTCTGTGGCTGGCGTGGGTGCGAGCTGCCGGGACTTGGCGTGCGACTGCCTCTCGAAGCTGCTTTGCCAGCCTTCCAGCCACAGACTCGCCACCTGCTCTTGGGAGCGGCTGGCCGCTGAGTGAGGAAGACTCGTCCGTGCCCTCCCTCTCCCGCTGGCATCTGGGCCGGCACCTTTGCCCCTGCCTCTGGGGCAGGGGCAGGGGCAGGGATTCTTACACAAGGACGCTCTCTGGAGCCACTGGCCGTGTTGAAAAGCTTAGGCAAGTTGCTCTTGTGACAGATGGGCCAGCCGGCAGGTGCTTCCTGGGGCTGGTGGGGGGTGAGGGGGCAGGGATGGCAGGTGCGGACGGCAGGTGCTCCGGAGACCGGGCACGGCCTGCTTTCAGACCTTTTCCTGTTTCCGAGACACCCCCCCCCCCCACCTGCAGCCACAGACTCAGGCGGGGCGGGCCTCCCAGGGTCTGTGCTGAGGATGGGGGAGGGGCAGCCTGATCCATGCTTTGAGCAAACTGAGGATGTGGCGGTTTCGGCCTCGGTTTACCACCAGGGTTTGATTTTTTTTGTATGAGAAGCTGAGTTCCCTGGGATTTAGAGATGAGCAAGGGCCCCATGGAAGGTATGGCTGGCTGGCCTTTCTTCCCGGCCCAGGTGGGTTCAAGCCGGGCCGCCTGTCCATCCCCAAGGAGCCCCATGTCCCCGCCACGGGGTCTCTTGGGAGGCCAGCGTCAGAGGCAGGGCCCCGCACCGGCCACACGTCCTTAGCATAGAGGATGCTGCGTGAAACCAGTCTCACCCCAGGCAGCTGGCAGCTGGCGATCCACATTCAAACTCAGCAGTTTCTGCTGATTTCCTCCCGGGGAGCTGAGGCTGTCCGGGAGGCAGCAGCACCAGGGGCCAGACGGAGGCGGCCACACAGCCCTTCCTGGCTCAGGGCTGGGAGCCCAGGCCCTGCAGGGAGAGGTGTCCTGAGGCTTGGGAGCGGGTTTCAGTGGAGAAAGTGTTTGCTTAAGAGCTTGTTGTGTAAACAAGATCCATGGAGGGATAAGCCGAGCCGGGCTGAGGAGACAAATTGTTTTCGGGGATGGGGCAGATCCGGAGCCTTATCTGGTCGGGAGAGGCCCTCTTGGGAAACTGCGAGCCTGTTGTGGCTTCTCCCTCCGTGTAGGGGAGAGGCTGCCCTTCCTGGCGTTTATTGGCCTGGCTTTCGGGCGGGGCCTCCCAGGCTGGCAGGGTAGGTGCCCAGGCTGCTGAGTTCTCTGCCGGCCCCGTTTCGACATCTGCGGGAAGACTCGGTCTCTGGATGGAGCCCTGGCCCCGCCCCACATCCAGCTTCCTCTGGGGGGGGGGGGGAGGGCGCTGGGTTCGGGGCATTGGCTCGCCCCCAGGGCCTCCTCAGCACAGTGGAGGGCCTGAGGGTGGGCAGAGGCCTTGGGCAAGGGGGGACTGGGTCTCAGCGGGTGGGTTTCCTGAAGGCTCGCCCCCACCCCCAGCTGCCCATTGGGAGCAGTCTGCCCTGGGCCTGGCTGGGAGCTTGTTGGGGTGGGGGTCCTCACTCTGAGCCTGCCTTGGGGGGGGGGGGGCTCTGCGGAGGCGGGACCGGTGTTGGAAGCCTCACTGGGGACCGTAGAGACGGAGAAGGGGTTGGGGGTGCAGGGGGCGGACAGGGACGCTGCTTGTTGTAGCTGGGTCGGGACAGCTCAGGTCTTTCTGGGGCCAAAGCCTGTCCTGGGAGGGGGGGAGGGACAGTGTGGGTCTTGCCCTTTGAAAGGAAGCACCGTGATATTTCCAGCCCGGCGGTTTCCGCACGTGTCTGACGCTTCCCCCATGGGAGCCCTGCCTGGTCCAGCTCCGCCCCAGGCAGCCCCGGAGGCCGCACGGCTCGTCTGTCCGGCTCCACTCAAGAGTGAGGCCGAGTGGCCATGTGGCCGTGTGGCCGTGGCCAGGACCTGGCGAGCAGGCCCATTCGCTGGAGCCCAGCCTTCTGACACATCTGCACAGAATCTCCTGTAAACCGCGCCCTCCTGCCCCCTCTTCTCCGGAAACGCTCCCCTCCTCCATCTCCCCTCTTCCCAAACAAGCCCCCCAGCCCCACGGCCCCCCGCCCCGAGCTGGGTCCCGGCAGCCTGCAGCCGGCCAGGCTCCGTTAGGTTCTCCGCGGGCATGGCCTCGTTGGATTTCTGCAGTCATCCCGGGATGGACTGTTGGCCCATTTTACAGATGGGGAGACTGAGGCTGTCAGGGGTTAGCAATGTCCCAGTGGCAAAGGCTGAGGGTTCTCCAAACCTGACCTGTGTGCCGGTTTGCTTCTCTGCCCCTTTTCGGTCCTGGCTCGGATGCTGGATCCTTTCAAAACAGGGGTGTTTGGGTCAAAGTCTTGTTGCCAAACGGGACACATATCTCCCCTTCCTGCCAGCTGGCTGCTGGCCCTCCCTTCCCCACCTGCTCTCCTGGAGCCGGTTACTGCGCATGCCCACTCGGCGTGTGTGCAGCGTCCCACCTCCCTCTGGCCTGCTGTGGGCCTGCCTCAGGACCACTGGCACCGACCGCCTCCGGGCCACATGGGCAGCCTGCTGGGGATGGCTGCTCCCCACAGGGCCCATTCCAGGGGCCTCCGGGAGCAGGGCCCTCTGGATCAGCCTCACCTGTTCCCAAGAGGGCCTGACCCCGCCGTGGCCACACCTGCCTCGGCACAGACATCCCAGCCCGTGCCCTCTCTGCCCCCCGCCCGCCTGCCACACGGGGCCCTCGGTGTCGGTATCCTGGTCCCCAGCACAGCCTGGGGCGGCCTGTCTGGAGGCAGGGCATCGTGTCCTTGTTCCTGGGGGTCCCCGAAAGCCCCAGTCTTCGACCCCCACGCTTCCTGGCCAGAGGCCCCACGAGCTGTTCTCAGTGTGGGCTGGGCGGGGCGGGGGGACCCCGTGGGAGCCACAGCCCGTGTCCCGGGAACGCGTCTCTGTCTGCGCTCTGAGGCGTGGGCTCTTTCACCAGCGGAGCTCCGTGGGCCCAGGGCCTGGTCCCCTCTCGTGAGCTTCTGCACCCCCAACACCTGACACGGGACGGTGTTGTCATAGCGTTAGGAGGGGTGTGTGTGTGTGTGTGTGTGTGTGTGTGTGTGTGTGGGAGTGTGCGCAAAGCCTGCCCAGCGCCGAGAGTCCTGAGACACCCACCAAGGCTCCGTCCTGTGCTGTGTGGGAGCAGCCCTGGGCCTGGATGGGAGATGGTTGGGGTTCGGGTGTGGGGGGTCTGGCCTTGTGGGGACAGGCTGGGGGGACGGGCTCAGCACCCTGGCAAGCCTCCACTCAGGCTCTTTTCCGGTCCCTTTCCAGCAAATGGTGGCTACAAACGTGCCCCCCGAAGACCAGGATGGCTCCGGCGACGACTCGGACAGCTTCTCTGGCTCCGGAGCAGGTGAGCGGCGGCAGGTTGTGGGCCAGGCCGGCGCCAGGCAGCCCCCGGCTGGGCCCGAGTGGGGATGCCGGGAGGAAGGATGGGGCTCGAGTCGCCAGGAGGAAACATGTATTGACGGACGGACAGACGGATGGATGGTGGTGGGTTCTGCCGACAGACGTGGGCTCCTCCTCTCCTCTCCACTCACTGGGCAGCCTTTGGAAGCTTGTCTGACTTCCCCGAGCCTCTGTTTCCTCATCTGTAAAATGGGAATAATGTCCTGACTTCACAAGGCCGCTGGGAACGAGCCGTGAGGCAGCCCCGAGCCTGGCGGGGTGTGTATCTGTATAAACGTCCCCCTGCCTCCCCACGTCCCCTCCCCCTGAGCCAGCGGAGGTCAGGGAGGCCTCCCGGAGGGGGTGCTTTGGGGCTGGGCCTCGGGAGAGAGCTGAGGCCATCCCTGGGGAAAGGGGCCTGGGCGGGGGCGGGGGGTGGGGGGCGGGGAGACAGGGCAGAGGCCTTCTGCGGAGAGAGCAGGTGTAACTGAGGGTCTGCACGGGGACCCAGGGCCCTGAGGACACCCCGAGCCCGGCAGCGGGCTGTGGCCAGTGCGGGAAGGTTTCTTCCCAGGCGGCCTTAGTGTCTCTTGGCTCCGAGACCAGGCCGTCCTGAGGCACAGGCAGCAGACAGAGGCAGCTCTTTTTTAAAAATTATATTTTACAGAGAGGAAGAGAGAGCGATAGAGAGTTAGAAACATCGATGAGAGAGAATCATTGATCAGCTGTCTCCTGCACACCCCCTACTGGGATGTGCCCGCAACCAAGGAACATGCCTTTGACCGGAATCGAACCTGGGATCGATTTCAGTCTGCAGGCTGATGCTCTATCCACTGAGCCACACCAGTTTCGGCTGGAGGCAGCTCTTTTCATTCCCCGGAGTCCAGTTCAGCTTCCGGGGCAGAGCTCCCCGGAGGAAGAGCTGGCTGTGCCAGCCGGGGCACTGGACCCACCCAGGCCCCCCACAGCCTGAGCCTGGCTGGCTTAGGTGTTCTGCGGCCTCCCCCACCCCAACCGGCTCTGCTCTGGCCCCGCAGGCGCTCTGCAGGACTTCGCCGTGTCACAGCCGACCTCCTTCACCTGGAGGGACATGGGGCTCCTGACTGCCATGCCCACGGCCCCAGAGCCCACCGGGGACGATACCACGGCCGCCTCCACCTCCATCCTGCCCGATGGAGCAGGAGAGCAGGAGCGAGACACGGTGCTCCTGGCCCACCTGGAACCGGGCTCTCCCAGCCGGGAACAGACCACCCACCCGCCCAGCGAGACCACGCCATACCCCACCACCCACCGGGCAGCGACAGCCAGAGCCACCGCTGCCCAGGCGTCTGTCAGCTGGCATCCCGTCAGGGCCATGCAGCCTGACCACCACGAGACCTCGGCCCCCGAGGGCCTCGGCCCGCTCGATCCTCACCCTGCTGACCCTCACACGACCGTCACGGAGGAGAGGGGTCCTTCGGCCACCGAGAGGACTGCCGAGGCCGGGCCTGCCACCCAGTTCCCCAAAGGAGAGGGCTCTGGGGAGGAGGTGAGTGCCCGCCCCTGTGGGCTGTGCTTCCTGGGACGATGGGGGCCCCGTGGGCACAGGGCGTGGGGCGAGGACCGTGGTTGTGGCCTGGCATACCCGGCACGCTGTGCCCTGAGCACGTCCCATTCCCCACCGCCAAGGCAAGGCCATGCGGTCCCGCCTCCCTCGCCCCACGGCTGGAGCGGGAGCGAGCAGGACCGACTAAAGCAATGCGGCCAGAGGGCAAGAGCCCTCCCACACCGACCACCAGGGCCCCCGCACGGAAGCGAGCCTATTTTTTTTTAATTTATTGATTATGATATCACATAATTTATTGATTATGGTCTCCCCATTCCCATCCCCTAAAGCGAGCCTGTTTATTTTCATTTTGAAACTCGGGCTTTATATCCGTGCCCGTACCTCCGCCACAGTCCAGTACCATGTGGTGGGAGGGGCCTGGCTTGGAGGTCAAGTTCAGCTGGCTTGGAGGTCAAGTTCAGCACCCAACCCCGGACTTCTGGAGTTGGGTGTTGTCTGAGTGAGTGGCAGCTGTGACCGGGAGGCCTGATCCGCTTCTGGCTTTGGATATGGGCCTGGACGCGGCCACCCTGCCTGATCCTGCCCCTGTTCCCCTCTCCCCCCCCCCCCCCCCCCCCCGTACTCCCCCAAAGGACTTCACCTTCGACGTGTCCGCGGAGAGCACCACTGGGGCTCCCGAGAAGCCAAAGCTGTCAAAGGAACTTTCAGTGGATGGCAAGGCCAGCGGGGCCACCGGGGCCTCGCAGGGCCTCCTGGACAGGAAGGAAGTGCTGGGAGGTGAGTGTCCTCTCGGGCGGGTGGGGGGACGGAGGGCAGACGGCTGCTTTGGGGGTGCGGGGTCTGTCTCTGGCCTTGGCGTGGGGGCTGCCCGGAGCGGGAGCAGCTGCGCTGAGCCGGCCTCTGTCGCCCCCCAGGGGTCATCGCTGGCGGCCTGGTGGGGCTCATCTGCGCCGTGTGCCTGGTGGGCTTCATGCTGTACCGGATGAAGAAGAAGGACGAGGGCAGCTACTCCCTGGAGGAGCCCAAGCAAGCCAACGGCGGGGCCTACCAGAAGCCCAGCAAGCAGGAGGAGTTCTACGCCTGACAGGAGCCCCCCCTCCCGCCCCCGCCGCTCGCCAGGCCCCCTCTGCCTCTTCCGTGAAGAACTGCGGGCCGCGGCCTCCCCAGGCCGCCTCCCCCGCTCCGCGCTCCCAGCCCCTCCGGCCGCCTCCCCCCGAGGTGCTGGGCGGGTGGGGGGCTCTCTCCTCCGCTTCTCCAACTGCCGCCTGGAGCCTGGGGCGAGGGCTTTCCGCCTCTGACCTCTGCACCCCAGCCAGCGCCTGGCGCCTCGCCGCCTGACTCAGTTTCTCCAGCCCGGAGCAGCTCTGGAGAGGGGCACACCCCTCCGCTGTGGACCTGGACGGCCCCTGGGGGGGGCGGAGGGCTGGCGCTCCCGTAGCACTTACTGGGAGAGACCCACCGTCCTGCAGGGGGCGTCGTCGGCTGCGTGGCGGGGAGGGGAGCTCAGGGTTCCCCGGGAGCGCGCTTGGTTTTGCGGGGAGGGCTGACGTAGACACCAACTTGTTTTTGCACAATTCTCCTCTCGTCTCTTTGATCCTAGCCCGGTAGACGTTACTGCTTCTGATGTAAGTTGAGCTGGTTTGGGTGCTCCCCCACCTTGCCTCCCTAATCCACCGTCAGGATGCAGCATCAGGGTTCAGAAGACTTTATTTTTTTTTTAAAACTAGGAGAACCAAATCTGGAGGCCGAGTGTATGTGCGGTCTCTGCGTTTGCCGCTCACGTGTGCAACCGGGTAGGGGTGGCTGGCTGGCCCCGTCGGGGGCCGGACGGCCTCGGCCCCTGCAGGCCGTCCCTTCGATGAAGCAGCCTGCCCGGGCCCAGGAGCTCGGCCGGGGGAGGAGCCCACGGGAGGATCGAGTCCCGGAGCCTCTGGCTGGGACCAGGGCGGGCGGTGGGGTCCGAGGTGCCGGTGGGCGGGCAATCTCCCGAGGACCCGGCTCTCTCTCTGGCACCATCTCCGGGGACACTTCCTCTGGGGGGTGACCAGAGGCACCCCGGGCACACCTGGCCCCCGAGCCCCTCCCCAGGGCTGGGCTCCCCTCCCATGAGCTCCGGCGGCCCTGGCCTGGCTGGGATCCAGAATGCTCCAAGGAGGAGGGATAGTCTTTTGCTTTTGGCAAAACTCTTACTTAATCCCATGGGTTTTCCACTGTACAGGGGAACTGTACATGTCAGTGGTCACATGAGCGCTGCGGCCTGTGCCTCTTCTCTGCTGGCCAGCGGATGCGACACCCTTTTCTCTCACCACCACGATGCTGGGAAACTAAGGGCTCCGTGCCTTCACCCCCGACCCCCCCCCCCCCCCCCCAGCCGCCCCAGGGTGGGACTCCGGGGCCAGAGTCGCCCTGGTTTTGTTTGTTTGTTTGCTAATATTCTTCCGGAGGTCGGTCGGTTCAGCCAAGGTCACGTACGTTCCGACATACATGTGACGCGTCGCCAAGCTCAAAGCATCGTCTCCTCGGCGGGTCACGGAGCTGCAGCGCCCCCTCCACAGCCTGACCCGAGGTCACGGCCACCCAGGCCCGGAGCCACGGCCGGCCTGGCCTCGCAGACGCCTGGGACGGCCCCCCTCACACCTCTGTGGGAGCAGAGGCCCCGCGGGCTTCTGGGAACCCCCGTCCTTGCTTCTTTAATCTGACGGCCTTCCAGCGGCTCTGTAGGGGTGACTCGGAGAGACGCACCGCCCCAGGAGGGGCGCCCGTGCCCCATGTTCGGACCCGGGACCTCCTTCTGCCCCGGGACGTGTGGCTGGACGTGGCTCGGGGGTGGGGAAGGGGTCTGCCACCCAGCTCGCCTCTGCGGGCCCTGGACAGCGCCGGGCCTGTGGCTGGGCCGGCTCGTGTAACCCGAATAAACGGTACTTGTCGATCTGGGCTGCCGTGTGGTCGCGTGTCTTCTTGGGCCTGCGGTGTCCTTCCCGGTCGCCTTCCGGGAGGCGTCGCCGGGCGCTGGGCTGTGCGCGGGGCCTGGTGACACAGCACCGGGCCCTCCTGCTCCCACTGCGTCAGCCACCTTCCCTCCCGGGGCTGCCTGCCCTGCTCTCCTAGATCAGGGCTCAGCTTCCGGGATGGGCCCAAAGCTTCTCCCGGGAGAGGCCACACACAGGAGCCCGCGCTGCACTATTCCCACTCACACAAAGCTCGGGGACAGGCCCAGCGCGTGGATGGTCGTGGCAGCCGGGGGAACCTCTGCGGGGGAGCGGGGGTGTGGTATTGGCCAGGCGGGCCCTCGAAGGCACCTTCTCTGAAAGGTGCTCTGGAATATTCTCTGGCTTGATGGAGGCGGTGATTACCAGGGTGTATGTATATGTAAATAAACCACCAAGTCATACACGTACGATGAGTGTACGCGGTATGCTATTCTGTAATAAGAACGCTAAGGGGAGGAGGGGGCGGGGAAGCTTATAAAAGGGTTTCTGAGATGCTAATTAGTTCCTTTAAACGCCAGGAATGGTGGGGGGGCCCACGTGGCCTGCGTTTTCTTCAGGGTCCCAGAGGGTTCTGATTTACGGCAGGGAAGCCCAGGCAGAGCCTCCGCTGTGGCTTCCCGGCCGGGCCTGGCGGGTGGAGGAGCGGCCCCTGCTCAGCCGGGAGTGGGCACGGCCGGCCGGCAGCCCTCATGACCCTCCTCCTCCAGCGGCAGCCAGACCCCGGCTCCCTCCGGTTCCTGGAACCTGCCAGGTCCGTGGCGGCGTTTCCAGCACTTAAGGCGGGAGCCGCGCCGCTCCTCCACTCCAGGAAAATATTTGCTCAGGGACTTGGCACCCGCAGGAGAGGAAATAAAAGCCACCTTGGAGCCGCGCGGGCTGTCTGCCTGCCCCTCCATTGCCGCCGAGGCCGAGGCCTGCCGTCTGGGGCCGGGCCCGGGAATCCTGCCCCACACACAGGCCAGCTGTCTGTCTGCGCCTCCAGGTCAGGAGTCACTGTGGGTTCAGAAGAGGATGGAGCTTCCCGTGGGCCAGGCACGGCGCTGGGCCCTGGATGCCGGACCCTGGCTTTGCCTTTTTAAAAAAATATATTTTGTCGATTTTTTACAGAGAGGAAGAGAGAGGGATAGAGAGTTAGAAACATCAATCAGCTGCCTCCTGCACCCCCCACTGGGGATGTGCCCACAACCCAGGTACATGCCCTTGACTGGAATCGAATCTGGGACCCTTCAGTCCACAGGCCGACGCTCTATCCACTGAGCCACACAGGTTTCGGCCCCTGGCTTTGCCTTCAAGGCCGTTGTGAGGTAGTGAGGGGGACTGGCCAGTGGGAAGGCCATTGGTGGTGTCTAGGAGCACCGGCCAGGAGGCCGGGAGCCAGCCTGGCAGGGCAGGATGGCCACTGGGGGGGGGACGGGGCTGGCCCCTGCAGCTGGCTGAGGATGGATGGAGCAGAGTGAAGGGTGATGGGCGGAGTATTTCCGGTAAAGGGAACAGCATGGAGCAGCTGGAACAGCAAAGGCCCGGAGGCACGAGTGAGCACGGGCTTCGGGGTGTGGAAGGTGGTGGTGTCAGCTGTGGGAGACCCAGGAGTCGGGACACCCGAGGGGAGCAGCGGCTGGCTGGCGCCACGAGACCTCGGCGTGAGTTCAGGGACACGGACTTTCCCCCGGGGCAGCGAGAGGTTTTGTTTTGCAACATGTGAACCCTTGGATTTTGCTTCTTTTGATATGGAAAGGTGTAAAGAAGAAAAAATCAGGCTCGAACCCCACCACCTGGTGCCATTTTATTATTTTTTTAAAAAAATGTATTTTACTGATTTTTTTCCAGAAAGGAAGGGATAGAGAATTAGAAACATCGATGAGAGAGAAACATCGACTAGCTGCCTCCTGCACACCCCCCACTGGGGATGTGCCCGCAACCAAGGTACATGCCCTTGACCGGAATCCAACCTGGGACCCTTCAGTCCGCAGACCGACGCTCTATCCACTGAACCACACCGGTTAGGGCACGGTGCCCTTGTAAACATTAAAATTCTCTGGGCACGTGATGAGAAACCCACGGGGGCAGGAAAGGTTGGGTGAGGAGTTTCCCACCTGCGCCTCCGGCTAAAGGCTATCCCACTGGACAGGCCTTCGCTGTGGGCGTCCAGAAGTCCCTCCCACGCGTCCACTCCCGAGGCTAAGGCTGTGCTTCTAAATAGTCACACCGGAGGATGGCTGCCTTCAGCACGGGCAGTCAGTGCCCCCCTCCCTTTCCAGTGTCTGCGGAGCATCCAGGGCGTGGATGGAGCCGCTGACTGGTCTCTCCCTCGGGGCGGGCTCTGTCTCCAGGCCTTGCTGTTGTCCGCGTGTCAGACCAGCAGCCACCACGCAGCACCGTCTGACTCAGACACGGGGGGCGGTTCCGAGTCTACACGGGGCGCGGGGCGCCTTCCTAGGGAACAGGTCCAATCAGAGGGCTGCTCCGGACCTTCCCCCTGCAGAGGTCTCTCCGGCTGGCCACCCCTGTCACCACTCCCTGCCGGTGGGAGCCTCAGGGACCACCTCTCACCTGTCACCACAGGTGTCACCAAATGGCTCTATTTTCTTTTTCCCACGGGATGGGGGAAGGGTGCAGATGACATCAAATGGCTGCTTTGATGTTTGTTCGTTTATTTAGGAGACTGGAAGGTGAGGAATCTGCTCACAAGCTTTTGGCACCTGCATTTCTTTTTCCAGAAGGGAACTGCTTTGCATATTTGGGGGCCCGTTTCTTTTCTTTCTTTTTCGTAAAAAAAAAAAATTATATTTTTATTATTGACTTCAGAGAGGAAGGGAGAGGGAGAGAGAGATGGAAACATCAATGATGAGGAAGAATCATTGATCAGCTGCTTCCTGCACGCCCCACACGGGAGATCGAACCCACAACCCCGGGCATGGGTCCCGAGTGGGAATCAAACAGTGACTCCCTGATTCATACGTTAAGTCAACACTGAACCACGGAGCCATGCCAGCTGGGAGGGGCCCGTTTTCCTAAAGGGCCTTTTTTTTTTCTTTTCTTTTTATTACATTTTATTGATTTTTTTTTAATATATTTTATTGATTTTGTACAGAGA